ATTATTAACTCAATCTCTGACCCCTCTCTTCTCCTCAGAGGATAGGGGATAGGGGAAATTTTCCAAGCTTCTAATCCTGTCTTGGTCATTCCAGGGGCCAGCCTCCATCCTGATGCTATCCAGGAACCCACCAAAAGTCACCTCACTAGGACAAAAGATGCTCCTATCACCCAGGAAATTACGAGGAATTTAGGAGCTCTGTGTCAGGAACTGGAGGCAGAGACCAAATATATATTTCTTATTATATCACAACTACTTACTAGCTGTAACTTTGGAATGTAAAGGACAACTCGACTTTTGGAGTTTCTTACTATGCCATTTTTACTGATGTCACTTTCTATTATTTCCTAGAACTGCACTTGAATATACAATTATCCCAAAATAAAGCACTTAAGTTTCTTTAAGTCAAGTCACAAAAGTGTTCTGACAAATACAGCATTTTGCTATCTCACACCTCCCCACTGTGCAATCCCATTTACCAAAACTAGTCTCTTAACTCAGTTAGCTATTTCTTCTGGCATTTACTCTTCCTGTAATTTTAAATAATATGTATTTTTTGAGTCATCAGTTTTATATATCATTTATTGTCTTTCTATTATTGTAAATAAAGGTCTGTGTTTCTACAGTACCATTCTTCTGCTTCCACCATCTTTCCAAAATGGTGATAACTATTATTAAATCAGTATTCAGCATTTATATTATATATTCACAGCCGATCTATTTGCTCTATGTTTCCTTTCTGTTTTCCTAGAGTTAATGTTTTCTTTGATTTTTTTTTTATTTGCTTCATTTCTTTGTATTTAATGTCAACTATTCCCAAACTTTCCATTGACTTTTCCAGTATACTTTTCCACATCAGGTAACTTATCACTTCCAATTTCAGACCTTCTTCTCTTTCTCTCTAGATTGCTACTCTCTAAGCCTTTTGGACAGTTGTCACCTGGGACTCTCCTCTGCTATCCTTAGAATTTCCTTGGCCTTTCTACTGAGTTGGATTCCCTGATCCCTAGATCTCAGGCATTCTCTCTCTGGATTTACTCTCTTGTCTTGTAGAGAACATCCTCCAGTAGTTTCGTCAAGTTAAATAATTTACCACAGTGGCAGAGGGTTTGTTGATACAAGTATTCTATATACTTGTCTCTGCAGTACCTATCTCTCTGAAAGACCTCTTGACCACCTCAGGGGATTTCCCTAAGTTTTTTTCAGTATCCCATTTCTTCCTATTTCTTGGTTTACCATCATTTTAGGTGAAAACATCCCAGAAAGGGATGCCTAGGAGGAATTTTTTGAGACTTTGAGTGTTTAAAAATATCTTTTGTCACCCTCACACTTGATTGATAGTATAGAGCTCCATTCTAGCCATGCTGCCCTCCCAGCCATCTGTTACTGAAACATGAAAGACACCCTTCTTCCTTTGGCTTTCTCATTTGCATTTGCTGCATGGCTAAACTCTCTTGCCTCCTTTAGGTCTTGCTCAAATGTTATATTCTCAGTGATCACTCTACATAAGTTGCCAACCCAACATTCTCACCCCATTTCCCACTTTACTTTATTTCTACAGCACTTATCACAACTTGGTATACTATATATTTCCCCTTGTTTACTTGTTTACTTTCTGTCTTCCTCCACTAGACAGTAAACTCCTTGGGGCCAGAACTTTCATCTGTTTTGTTCACTGATATATTCCAGCACCTGAAACAGTGTTTGGCACATAGTAGGCTATCAATATTTATTTGTTGAATGAATGTATAATAAACACTTATCTCTATACTATGCCAAAAAGGAAAGTAATAATTTTCTTGTTATGATAAATAAGAATGGATTTGATTGATATAGAATTAAGCAATTTGTTGGTCATGCCACTTGAATATTTAAAAGAGATTGTGGAATCTCTTTTTAGATTTTTAAACATAAAATAGATGACCACTCGATTTTTATGACAAGTGTGTGTATCTTTTTCTAGAAGCATTTAAAATATTCTTTCATCTGTACTTGTCCCTCACACCTTGCTTATCTTCTGCTTTGCCTTCCTTTAGCTACTAGTAGGGCTTCTAGCTGCCCCAACTGTGCCCATCTTCACCCATTACCAGCATCTCTCACCGTGGGTTTCAGCTAAACCTGAATTCATATACTTTGGTTCAGACCATTTTATCTGTGGCCTTTGCTTTTGGATAGGTCTCCTGCCCAGAAGGTGGCCAAACTAGCCATTTCTTCTACACCCAGCAGCTGGAATTCTAACCAGCACCCCATCATGCACACTGACATAGAAGCACACCCCACACCCTCACAGGAACCCCACACACACTGTAACATAACAGCTAAAAGTCAAGTTATTTTGAGTGTGCTCATTTTGTATGCCACATGATAAAATAAATGGCCTTGGCTTTTAGTGCTTTTTAGTGGCTATTTAGTGCTTCTCTGTTGCAGTGTAAAAAACTTAATGTTGAAATGGCCTGTGTCGATGACATGTCTAATTTTTACATAAGAATCAAATGAAAACATAATTGTTTAAAATACATTTATAAGTAGTGATGAGGTTTGACAATATTTTTATTTCAAAAGAATTAGCCATAGCCTTAATAGTTTCAATCTCAAGCCAAGAGAGAATAGTCTTTTAAAACCACACTTAAATAGGACTGCTAGATTCAGCAAAGAAAAATACAAGATGCCCAGCTAAATTTGAATTTCAGATAAACAACTAACAATTTTTTAGTATATTTTCCAGTGAGAATCCTGCACTTTATCTAGCAACCCTACATTTATTTTTTTTAAAGATTTCGTTTATTTATTTGCCAGAGGGAGAGCAAGAGAACAAGCAGGGGGAGTGGCAGGCAGAGGGAGAAGCAGGCTTCCCTCGGAGTAGGGAGCCCAATGCAGGGCTCAATCCCAGAACCCTAGGATCATGACCTGAGCCAAAGGCAGATGCTTAACCGATTGAGCTGCCCAGACATCCCTAGCAACCCTACATTTAAATTACCAACTGTTCTATCAGTGAAAGAACTTAGTTAGGTTTATTTTGAATGTAAAAGATTAATGTTAAAATGCCACAAAGGGAAGGAGTTAGAAATTCACTTTTTTTGGTTGATGACATTAAGGCAGCAGACTATTTTAATGTGGCTAAAGTCTATCTAGTAACAAAAGTGTGAGTAATAAGATGCTGGCCCAGGAGCAGAATGAAGATACCTGTCATTGTCTTCTTCCCAGACCCTTATCATCTGGAGGAGCAGAAAGACCACATCATAGGAACATAGGTTCATAGGCATTTCCCCATGACACAAAGAAGTCAAATCAAATCACTGATAGTACTTGCAGCCTTTTCATTTATTCATCCCAGATCCTTCTATGGATGTCTTAATCAGCTCAGGCTGCTGTAACAAAATACCATTGACTGGGGGGGCTTAAACAACAGGAATTTATTTTTCACAGTTCTGGAGTCTGGGAAGCCCAAGACTCCAGATTTGGTCCCTGGTGAGGCGCTTCTTTATGGTTTGCAGAAGGATGCCTTCTTACTGTATCCTCACATAGCAGAAGGAGAGATCATCTCTGTGTCTCCTCTTTATAAGAGCACTAATCCCATTCATGCTGGATCCACCCTTATGGCCTAATTACCTCCAAAAGACCCACCTCCAAATACTGTCACACTGGAGATTAGGGCTTCAAAGTATGCATTTGGGGAAGATAGAAAACACTCAGCCCATGGCAATGAAGACTTGAATAAAACTATGGGTGTATATCCAGAGAGATCGTGAATGTTAGAAAAACATCATTTCTGACAGTAGAATAACTATGGGCGAACATGCCCAGGCATTCTCCTCAGGTGAGAGAAAGGAGGGTACTTCTCTGAAAGCTGGGTACGTTCACCAACAAGCAGGTTTTATTTTAAGAAACTAATAAAAGTAATATGATTCCACCTTTCAGAGCTATTTATCACTTGGAGTTTCAGTTTGGGTGATTGCACTCTAGTAAATTAGCTGAGAGCCCAAAGATTATATCTGCATCCAGACAGTCCATTCATCATGCTTAGCATTCGGATTTCAACCCAGCTTTCCCACATATTTGCCAAAATGCCACTGAAGTAATCACAGAAAGCTCCTTGTTTTGATCTACCTAATGCCTTAAATATTGTCAGTGGCTCTGGATTTAGGTTTATTGGAATATTTTAATAACCCACCGATCTCTTTATCTGAAAGTCTCATATAACCACTTTCTGAGTTCATAAATACTTACTGATTTTAATTTTGTACCAAAAAGAGAATAGACTTTAGAAGTTCAATGTGTTCTTACCCAAGGAAGAAATGCAAAGTGGTGTAGAAATTATCAAGGTATTCTCATGTAAAAGTAAAAAAACACTTAAATACTATCAAATATTTAACAAGTTGTATGGCCAATATAAAGTTCAAATTATATGTGTCACCCACACCTTTACTTTCTTAAAATCATTTTGCAAATTGGCAAGTTATTCAGTCAGATTATCCAATTTTGGAAAAGCATAATTTAAATTTTAAGTGGTAAAATTACCAAAATGTGACAACTCGGACCCAAAAAACCCAAATGCATAAAATGCAGGCTTACAAGGTTGGAAGGTGAATAAAATTTCTGGGCCCAATCTGCATAGCTAATTGGCTGGGAGTTCCAGATGGCAATGTGGGATACAAATCTATTCTACTGCCATCTGTGTTTTGGCACCACCTGGTGACCTAGTCAGTTTTTACCAGCTGGTCCCTAGGTGTGTTGTTTCTGGCTACACAGAAATTTTAGGTTACTGGTGGTCTTTTAGTCTCATCTATCTGGAAATACTTGGGCCTGAATAAAGTGAGTACAGGTTTGGACACAGGACTGCCTATCCTTTCTATACCAATTTCTTCTTCAAAAATATGACATTAAAACAATCAGTGCAAATGCATTATTTTAAGTCTAACTTTGGATTTCCTTTTTTGCTTTCTCTTCTTTGGGGAAAATACCTGGACAAAATTAACTGGTCTCAGAAGCTTTCCCCACAGACAGTTCTTGGTCTTCACCTGCTAAGGCCTCTGCTTCACTATCAGACACTCTACCTTTCTTTACTGCATCCAGCATCTTCTCTCTGACTGATCAAAGTGCCACAGACATAATGCCCATTGACCAGACAGTACTAATCCCAGAACTAACCATCCCCATGGATGGCTATTCTGCCATCAGCCAATCAGCTCTGGAAATTTCACATTCAACTGCATATTCAGGCAGCCAAGATATTGTGAGAGACTTAGACATAATGGATCTAACTAACACTCCTGCTTCCTCTGAGGTACCAAGACTCAGTGCAGATGTTTCCACCCCAGGTCATTTCTTGGAGACTGCCACTCCAAACCCAGCTTTACAGTACATCACCACTAACTCTATGACCGTTGCCACCAAGGGCCAAGAACTGGTAGTCTTCTTCAGTCTGCGAGTCGCTAACATGCCCTTCTCCAACAACCTGTTCAACAAGAGCTCTCTGGAGTACCAAGCTCTGGAGCAACAATTCATACAGCTGGTGAGTAAGCACTGCTTCCAATTCCCTGCGTGTCCTTTCTTTTTTTCTTGTTACCTTATAATATCATCACTGGCTGTCTTGAGCAATGAATGTTGGAAGAGACAAGCCTCTGACATAGCTGTTGCTGAAGGTATTCAGCTAAAGTGTGGGGATGGATTCAGATCCAATAAGCAAGTGAGTTCTGTGGTGGACACTCCAGGCAGACACTGCCACCCAGCCCCATGAGATCTTATCCTTAAGATCTTTTCATTATAGTTATTCCTAATGTAATTTTCCCAGGAATAATACATAGCCACTCAAGTACTGAATGTGGAATTTAAAAGCAGTATGAGCAAACTTTCCCGAAGTTATAATGCCACAGGCTGTTTTCCAGCCATCAGATAGAAGGATTCAAAACTCGAATGGTCCAGAACAGATGAGGCCAAGAGTTCAAGTGTAAGAACTCCTTTCTTAGTTCCCCTTAAGTTCTTGTAAAACTAAAAAATAGCTAAATGGTGTATCATCCCTGATCCCTAACAAAGAAAATGAGATGAAGATCATGATGGCATATATCTTTGATTATACAATACCCCCAAAACTCACATGTTTATTTTGTTTCTACATGTACAATAAGAAACACACATATATTGGGGCGCCTGGGTGGCTCAGTCGTTGAGCGTCTGCCTTCGGTTCGGGTTGTGATCCCAGGATCCTGGGATCGAGCCCCACATCGGGTTCCCTGCTCGGCGGGAAGCCTGCTTCTCCCTCTCCCACTCCCCCTGCTTGTGTTCCTTCTCTCGATGTCTCTCTCTCTGTCAGATAAATAAATTAAAAAAAAAAGGAACACACATATAATAAGAAATGCTCAACCATGTGATACCTGTATGCAGTCACAGCCAATTAAAGTCAAGTACACAATACAAAAATCTAGAATGTCTGAAAATAACAGAAAAAATATTTGTAAGCTTCATATAAATTAAATCATTATGCAAATTAAAGCCACATAAAAACCAAGGTCTTCAAGTGAACTTTAAAGGAAGACTTTGTGCAATGTCCCCCCGCCCCCGATCAATTGGTTGCTTCCAAATAGATGTGAGGTGAGGTGAGTAGATACCGGGACAGTCTCAGGGAACAGAGTCCCAGTGCACCTAGCTCAGGTGTATTAATTAGGGTATGTGCTGAGCTTCCATAATGAAGAGATCAAAAATATAGTAACTTAAATATGGTGACAGATGGTAGCTACACTTTGGTGAGTGTAGCATAACACATAGACTTGTTGAATCACTGTGTGGTACACCTGAAACTGATATAACATTGTATGTCAACTATACTTCAAAAAAATATATATATAGTCACTTAAATAAGTTACAAGTTTATTTCTCTTCAACTTGATGGGTAGGGCAATTCTGCTCTACAGTGTCATCCAGAGATTCACATTTCCTCTGTCTTATAACTCTGACAACCCCAGTGGTGTCTGCTCATTCACACAAAGCTGAGTCACCGGTAAATCCCTGTCTCCATTTGTGAGAAGGGGCAAGAGAGGAAGCCCAGGGCAAGCAGTTTCATAAGAAAGTGAGTAATACCAAAGTTGCCCACATCTCTTCCACTCATATTCTGTCGATGGGAACTAGCACATGGCCATATCTTGCTGCAAGGGAGGCTGGGAAATGTGGTTTGTAGCAAGGCAGCCTCTTTCCTGTGAAGAAGAAAATGGATTTGGGAGAAGGGAGCAGCTAATCATCTGCATACTAAAGACAGGGAATTCCCACCAGAGGCCAACGCAATGCTAAGATGCAAAAAATGAGCCCAGTCAATGTAAGTAGGAGAGTACTGAGAGTAGACTGAGAAGTTCCACACTTTGTATAAAATTTCATTTTATTTTTACAATAACCTGTGGGAGGAGGGAAGCTATTGGCATGTGGGCAAGGTTAGAGTCAAAATTCTGGTGGGGTGGGGACAGGGACAAGAAAAAGTAGACCTGGGCTAAGCCTGGGAGATTGTAGCTTGCATCTGTGTATTCTCTGTGTTCGTAGGTGTCAGTTTATTAAAGGGGTTAACTTTCAGGGCCAAGAACAAGGCAGACACTGCTGAGTTTCAGACATTTCTGAAAAGGGATCTCAGGGGAGGTGGTGACTCACAATACGCAGCTGTAGGACTCTGAAGCACAATGCCCCGTGGGCAGACTTTTGATATTATTAAATTACAATTTGAAAAAGGTCCTTAGGGAACCACTTTTTCTTCTTCCTTACAATTCAGATAAGGGCACTGAGGTACAATACAATGGATAAATGGTTTGATGAAGGTCACACAGCTAGCTGGGGACAGTCCCAGGACTGACACCCAAGTCCCCTTACTGCCAGTTCCCTGCTGTTTCCACTGCGCGGCCTATGCATTGACCGTGAAACATGTCCTGCGTAGACAGACAAGCTGATGTGTAAGCTGTTACTTCAATAGGTCATTTCAATTGGTTGCTTCCAAATAGATGTCCCATTTATACAGGCGGAAGTCAGTCTGCTCCTGGGCTCAGTTTGGAACATGTTTTTATTTGTTTGAATTTTTTTTTTTAAATAACTGAACCTGGCATTCCTGCTTTGCTGATAACATTGGCCTAGATTTTTAAAAGTCCTCTGTTGTCACAGTTCATCATGAAGAAAATCACTGCCCATCCATCTCAATACACAAATAGAAAGGTGGAAATATGGGACATAATCAGTGCAAATAGATCATTAAATAGTCGTGTTCTGCTTTCACATTAAATCCAAACACAAAAATAAAGACAATCAAAAAGGAACTGAAATTTATGCCTCAGATAATGAGAAGTGAGTATAAATGGAATTAGCAGCAGCTGAGCACTTAGAACACCGTTAAGGGTAAACCATCTTTTATTTTGCAGCTGGTTCCCTATCTACGCTCCAATCTTACGGGTTTTAAGCAACTTGAAATACTTAACTTCAGAAATGGGAGTGTGATCGTGAATAGCAAAATGAGGTTTGCTAAGTCGGTGCCCTATAACCTCACCAAGGCTGTGCAGGGGTTCTTGGAGGATTTTCGTTCTGCTGCAGCCCAACAACTTGACCTGGAGATAGACAGCTACTCTCTCGACATTGAACCAGGTAAAAAATCCAACCCAGAAAATTGTGAGAGTTTTTTTGGTTTTGTTTGTTTAGCAAATGGTTCAACTTTGAGGCCACAAAAGTCAAATTAAAATCCCACTTGTTAAATAACATTTTGGAAGCTAATGGATCACCTTATTAGGAAGATAGGGTCCTAAACCACACAGGTTAAAGTTTTCGTACATCAAAAAGCAGAGAACAAGTACACCTCGTGCTTCACAATCTGGGAGCTTTGATTTCACCCTCAGAACACAACTTTTGCTGTGCCTTAAGAGATTGTTTTTGTTGTTGTTGTTGTTGTTGTTTAATGTTCCCCACAGCCAAGCTAATTTGCATTTTGCTAGAAGTCAGAAGCACTTTCTTAGCAAACTGCAACAACCTGGAGGGTTTCTACCTAAGAAACCTTCCAGTCGTAGTTAACTATCAGAATTACCTCCTAATAACCAATTCAGGATGAAACGAAACAGTGTCCTGAGGAAAGAAAACTAATCATTAGACAAAATCCAAACTTGGAAAAAAAGCCACTGCACATCACCAAAGAAAGAAGAAAATAACGTCCCTTCCCATTTGCACACCCTAGATCAGCTTCCGTGTGCAGGTTAAAACAGAGAAGTGTTAGATGTGAAAACTTTTAAAAGATAATGGGGGTTAGCCCAAAGCTACATAATAGAAAGCAAATATCGTTCTGATAATAAAACATACTGTGTGTACCATTCTAACCAGCTACGCCCAAATTAGGAACCATTGGCACCATTACTTTTAAAATTCTGTTTTCTAACCAAAGGAACCGTTGCCACCATTACAATCAAATTCTATTTTCTAACCAATAAATTCCCCAGAGTGCTGAGGGGCAAGGCTCCAGATCTACTGCCAAGGAGACCTTCTAGTCGGGTTCAAAACAAAGCTTCCTAACTGGCTATGAATTAGTGAAGTGGATCTTTAACATCCTCTCTGGCTTTCTGTGGGCTAACAATGAAGGCAGAGGGAAAAGGCCTTGGGCAAAATGCAAACAAAGAGGCTCAGTTGGGAAACACTTAGTTTTGACAAAGCAGAACTTTGAGCAACTTTAAGAAAATTGCCTCCTATTTCAGTACACAGGATCATTAAAAAGACAGATCACCCTTAGGCACTAAGTCCGGGAGTGCTTACCCCTGAACAGGGGCAGCTAAGAAAGCCCTGAGGACCCCGTAAAAAAGTCAAAGACCCACTAAATGCTAGTAATAGACGGTCTCTTCCCCTGAAAACCACCTCGAACTGAGAAGGAACCAGAGGGTGCCTGCCAGGTAGGATCAGGAGACCAATTTCTTCAGTCAACTGAAAGCAATGAAAAGGGACATCTACAGAACTCGGAAAGCATAGCAGAGGTGAGGGTCCAATATCCTCCCTTCCTTCCTCCTTTGGAGAGCTGACAGGCGACATAGAGACCCATCCAACAACATGAGAAGGTCAGCATCAGGAGCCAGGTTGAGACAGGGGAGAACTCAGGTGTGCTGACATGGAGACGGGCTTCTCAATGGAGGTACCACTTAAGTAGTGCCTTAGAAACTGACAGCCGGAAGCTGGTGGCCCATTGCCAGGGATGCAGAGGGGACCCTAGTGATGCCGGAAGGAAACACAGCATAGCAATGACTTTGGGGGGCCATAGTCCTGAATGTGAATCCCATGCACTAACAGCAGCACTCAATTTCCACAACTGGAAAATGGAGATAGTAAACAGTTGTGAGGATTAACTGAAAGAATGTTTGCAACACCCAGCATACCACTGGACACATCGTAGTCGACTAAGGAATACTTGTAGTTAATATTGTAACACTGTCGTTATTAACTTGATTAGTAATTTGTGATCTGAATAGGGTACCCATGAGAACAATAAAAAGTACTGTGACAGGGTATTTGTGTGTAGGCTGGAACTGAAATTATGCTTATTTCCTGGGACTGGTTTCACTATGTAGCTTTCCCTCTAAGAAGCCAAAAGCAACCAAAACGAGATGCTGTTAACTTTGGTTTCAGTCCCTGCTGGAGCCAAATTTATATGGAGCTATCCCAAAAATGCCTCCAGACTGCCTCGTGTACTGTGGGGTACATGGGCAATTTATTCTTTTAATGGTAGAACAACAGGGGAGGCCAAAGCACATGGGACAGCCGGGGACATTACCTTACGCTATTTCTTACTAGATACTTAGAGAACGAGAAAAATCTGAATTTCTGATACACTGAAAACTCACAGAATAATGGATGGATGGTTGGATGGATGGATGGATGGATGAGGTCTGCCAAGAGATGGCTGTAGTGAGCCAGCTAGGACCTAAGTAAAGCCTGAACAAAAGAATTTAAGGACAGCAGAATTAGAAAGCAAATAAGGATTTTATAAAAGTTAAAAATATATAACAATGTAACTTTACAGATTCCTCTATATATATCAAAATAGGTAAATCCAATACCTAAAAGGGCTCCTATTTACTGGGAAAGGCCACTGTGCCAACCTGCCCCCAAAAGCATTCCTTCCAGTCAGCAGGGGGTGGGGAAGGAAGAAGGTACAAACATGCAGGGAGTAGAGTTGAGCTCCTCACTGCCCCCCTAGAGATCCTGGTTTAGTTATTTCCCCAAAGGCAAAGGGTAGACTTGCCCAAGTAACCAGCAAGTGGTTGATTATCAGACCTTGACCATCTTCTACATGCTTAATCCAAAACAAGAGACATTCATCCACCATCATATAACACATGAATACATGGAAGTCAGTCCCTACCCAAAAGAACTTGCAGGATGGCCAAAGACGGATCAGAATGATCAGACCTCTGCCTGTTTCATTCAAAAAGACTGTAATGAGCACTTTCTGATGTGCCACATTTAGTTGCAAATTTCTGAGTTTGGGAATCACTGAGGCATAATGAAGAAAGCACTGAATTTTCCTTTAAATCCCATTTCATTGAGACCCAGTGTCTGAAGGCAAGAGAGAATTTAGGGCTAGAGATTAATGTAGAGAATTCTAGTCCCTCTGGGCTGGTCTCCCGCAGTGGTGGTTGGTGGTGGCGAGGGCTGAGCAGCCACCAAGACGGCCAGTACCATAAAAAAAAAAAAAAAAATTCAGTGACACTTGGCACTATGGTAAGGAAGACCTTATTCAAGGAGGGCCATCTCCATGGATGTAGGGACCACTGCAGTGGAGTCTTGACGTAGGGGAGAGTGGACTTAACTCCAAGTACAGCATGTGCAAGTGGGAATTTATAGCGAAAGAGCAGGGTGGAGGGCAGTGGATGGAACTTACTAAGAAGAAATTCTTCTTGCTAAAATTGGACAATGAAGAGGGGAACGCTGAAGCTCAAAAGTGGAGGCCAAATTGAGAATTTCAGGGGAGCCTGAGTAGAGCTTGGTCCTGGAGAAACTTCATCCGCACCAGAGCTGGAGTGGCAGGATGCCAGGCACACACATGTCGGTGGCAGCAGGGCGAGCTGCCGCTGGAGGGTGGTGGCGGCGGAGGACGGAGAGGCGGCCACCCAAGAGCGAGCAGCAGTCAGGCACCCACCCCAACGACAGACCTGCACACCCCCACTTCCCCATCCTCACACTATCCACCACTCCTCCTCCCTGTTCACATCCTGGTCCAGTCCAGGCAGGGATGCGCCCAACCCTAAAGCACTCACCACCATTGCTTCTCAACAGAGGTAATGAACTTCTTACATCTATTAATCTGCTTATCTTATAAAACTTCTTGAACCTGAATTTTAAAACACTATTCAAAAAAAGAAAAAGAAAACAACCAAAAATCTATAGTTAGAGTAAAGTGTTTCTAGCCTGAGTTCTCCCGTATAATTTTAGTTTGGGGGAACATGCACAATATTAGTATTGTGATCATAGAAAAAAATAGGTGTCCAGATTTTAAGACAAATTGAGAGAACAAATGCAGATGATTTTCAATAGTTTTCTTCCTTTTTTTTTCCTTTAATCTAGAATATGACAGCTATTTTGCTCCTCGGTTTTCAATGTGACTTGACTGATCCAGATTTTCTCTTTTTGGTAGTAAATTGGAGTGTAAGCTGTCATGGTGATTGACAGGCAAGCTGATTAAAATGTCCTCCTAGTACAACCAACCAGTGCAACCAAATGATCACGTTGCCTCTCAGGTCCCTGGACCCCAAATGAAGATAATTACTTCAGGTTCCTTGGACTCGAATTCCAGTTTACACAGCCCCTGGCTCTATTGCTGTTGTAGTCTTTTCTAATGTCTAAGGCTTGGGCTGATATACGGCAGTGCCCAGCCCCCAGCATGTAGTAAAAGAGGTCTAAGGGGCACTTAGAATCAAAATTCCAGAAAATTCCAGAAGGTCATCTAGCAAATACAAGAAACCTCCCTGATTCCTGTTTGATCTTGCCAGTGTTTGCTTGAACTCATTGGTACTGGCCCAACCTGTTGAAAACTCTCCCTGAAAGAGAATTTAGAAGGGGAAAACTTTAGAGAGAAAAGGGGCGGCTGCAGGAAGTACCATATGCCAGGAATAAATACCCAGCTTTGTCTCTGGGAGAGAATCCCAAGAATCTATGCTTGGAAAACAGAGAGGGCATCCTATAATTTTAACCTTTTCCCAACCAGAATAGCCAAATACAGCAACACTTACCGTGTGTCTCACCCCTTGCCCTTCCCTCCGACCTTCTTGGGAGATCAGAAGCAGACTGTATAACACTGGAGGTTCTCCCACCTCATGTCCAGTGTTGCCCAGGCCTGGGAGCCACCGGCCCTACCCATCCCTTCCTTGCCCAACCCTTATCAAAGAATAACCCTTAAAATGTGAAAAAACATAATTTTCATACAAATAGGTAGTGAGTGTATATCAAAGTTTTATTTCACTCATTAATAAGGGAATCACTAGGATGACAAATCTGGTCTAAAGAGGCTCTGAAAATGGGAATTCTGTATAACCAGAGAACAAAGCAGAATGACGAAATAAGGATGTCATGCCAAATAGGAAACAGGAAGTACCATCATTTTGTCTTATCCATTTTCT